TAATTCTTGTGGAAGTTCTTGAATTTCTTGAGGAGTTTGATTTTCGTCAGCCATCTTATTCAATTATCAGTGACATCTAGGTTTTCTTTTATAATATCTTTTTTACTATATTTTTTCTATTCTACTTTTCTTCTTTTTATTTTTTGTTAAATAAAACAAAATAGTTTTATAAGAAGAAATATAATAGTTTTATAAAGTATTATGACTTTGAATAATAAATACAATAATGAAGGATATTAGATTTGCTTGAATATTATATAAGTACTATTATATTTTTTAGTCAAAAGAAATTGATTAGCACTTATAAACACTTAACTACTGAGAGTTTATTTTTTTTAAATTTATAAAATTATTTTTTATCAACAACTATTTAGAAATAACTATACGTTTTACAAATATTCAGTTTAAAATAAAATAATCTAAACCTGCAAATAAGGTGAAGAAATGAATGAAATTGAAAAAAACGATGGTAATAAAATTATAAGAGAAAGGTGTTGTGTTAATAATGGGATATTCACTACATATAGTAAAGTAAAAAACTTCTTTATTTAAAAAGTTTTCTTAAGATTATTTTATAAAGAATAAGTATTATAATATAATAATTATACGTAAAAGACTAATGTGTAAAATATGGCTCTCTTTCCTATTTTCTTTAAAAAGTTACACACTATTGTCTCTATACCTAAGTTAGAAGGACTATTAACTCTGTAACATAAAAAAATAAAACCATTCTTTTATAGTAAAATCTAAATGTTATTATCTTTTTTATCCTTTCATTTAATTCTAGTGAGGGTACTTCAACTTTTTTATTTCCTTTCTCTAAATTAATATTTTTGGATTTATTTTATTGTTCATTTGTTAATTCTTTTATATATCAATAATTTTATATCAACACTCTTTCCAAAAATTATTTATTATACTTAATATAAATATATGAGGAGTATTAATGGGGTTAAGAACCTCCATAACAATGGTATTTAAATCCACATTGTTTAAATAATGTGTTTCATTATAAATATAGTCTAAAAGATGAATGCCATTGTTAAGTAATAAATAAGTGATATGTTTTTATAAACTAATATGAATAAATTTTTAGTGGAATGATAGGTAGTAATGAAGAGATGATTTGGTATTACAAGGAATTGTTGGTATTGAAGTTGTTGTATTATAATATCAATTTTAATCGTTATGTTGTTTTATTAATGAAAATGAATGATAGATATTTTTCATATAACTCAATCAATTAGCACTTGTTGGTTGTTCTTTTTGTTTATTTTCTTGTTCTTGCATAACTCTTTTCCATTCATCTACAACTACAGAAGAACAATCCTTATTAATTAATGTGTCTAATGTAAAATTATGTGTCAAAATTAATGCGTCTTCTCCATCAAGATAATAATGTTTTGAAACTTTAGTTACACTAGAAAGAAAATAAGACTTGGTTTTACTTTTTACAAACTCAAACTATCAGCAAAGAAATAATAAAACAAACGTAAATCCAATTGTTTTTTCATACAAATGTAAGGCTGGTTGATTTGAAACTCTTACTTGAAGCATCATTGCTCGAGCACCAAAGACTTCAATCATACTATTTTCTGCAGCTCGAATTAATTTGGTTGCAATACCTAATCTTCTGTATGTTCTTAAAACACTAATAGAAGTTACTTGTCCTGTAACAACTGGATGAGGATCATCATCTTCACTATACATTAGTAATTAGTGGATAATATAAAAATACATCCAAACATTTTAGTTAAACAATATCCAACCACCTTATTATCAGGTGTTACAGCAACAAAAGATGTTGGGTATAATATTAAATGATAATAATATAATTGTAAATTATAATTCTCTGGTAAATTTGTCAAATTAACATTTTGGATTGCAGGCAAATCTGCAGGCTAGATGATTACTTTCATTTGTTTATTTATTTTTATAGTGTATATAACATATTTAATGCAAATAATTAAAAAAAGTGTCATTTAAGACAAAGATGAAATTGATAAAATTATTTCATGAAAAATAAAAAAACAAACAGTGGCTTTTCTGATGGTAAACATGATAAATTACTGTTCAAGAAAAGAATTTCTTTTTTTTTCAGATTTTTTGTCTTTTCAAATTTTTTAAATTAGTCTTTTTATAATCCACGAAAATCACAAATAAGTCCACGTTTACATATAATTTTGTTATTGAAGATTTAGAAAATTATGTTTTATACAGATGATAAAAGAAAATTAGGAAAAGAAGAAGAAATAAAAGAATAGGAATTAGAGAGAATAAAATCGAACTAGAAATTAAGAAGAAAAGGAACTTCCAGAGGAACTGGGAAAGAAAATAGAAGAACTAAGTAATTAAAAAGAAAGTTAAATAAAATTCTATGCATACGATTATTGATCCAAATACACCAGAACAAAATTTAATAACTACTGATTTTACAATATCATTAAAAGACACAGTTAGTAATGTTGATAAGAATGTTAATTTTTACACAATTTTATTTACATGGAAACAAAAGAAAATTTGGAAAACAACACCAAAACGATTTAGTGAATTTGAGGCATTTCACAATCTTATCAAATATGTGACAAATGATCCATGTATTATTAATTTACCACCAAAACTACTTGTTCATTCAAAAGAAAATTTAGAAGAAAGAAAAAAAGGATTAACAAATTACATTTATTCAATTACTAAAAGTAGTTCTTTAATTCAAATTCCTGAAGTTAGACAATTTTTTGATATTCCATTTGTTGTTCAATTGTATTATGCAGCAACTCCAATGCAATTACCAGTTGTAGAAATTCAAGAATTACCAGAAAATGTTAGACAAATGTATCAAGATGGATGTACATGGACAACACATTTTAGTAGAATGTATACTTCAGTACATCAATTACCAACATTTGAAGAACAAGATGAATTTTTTGTGAAGAATAGAGAAATGATTAATAATATGAGACAATTTTTTGAAATTCAAATGCAAACATTTACACAAGTTTGTTGTTATTTTCTATTATATATAGAAAACATAATTAAATCAAATAAAAAGAAAATTAATAGAAATAGGTTATTAAAGAACAAAATACTCAAATATTAAAAGATATTTTTTCTACTTCACATAGAATTTGGTTATGGATAGTTAATATGCCACAAATTATTCATGCAATGAATGCACTTGCACCACCTACATTTATTGATGTGATGAAATATTTAAACAAAAGTACTGGAGAATTAGATATTCCAGCATCAGTTACTACATCAACAGGAGATTCTATTAAAGATTATTTTAATCAAATTAGATCCATTAAAAAGAGAGGATCTGAATTAGAAGCAGAAGTTGTAAAAAATGGATTTGTATTATCTTCATATACAAAGAAGAAAATTGTTGAAATTTCTGAAGAAATTGATAGACTTATTGAAGGAGTAATTTCATATAATCAATTTATCAATGGAGATAATTGTATGGATGTAAAAGAAATGTATATTGAAGCAACTGATTTAGATATTGCATTCAGTAAGAGACTTGGAATATTAATTGACAAAAAACCAGAAAATGATTGCTTACAAAAGGCAAGTTGGATTGAAGCTAAAGGATCAGATAATCAAGTATTTATGATGCAAGAATTGTATCAACCATTTGTGCTATGATAAAAGTATAGAATTGACATTCTTTTAAGGTCTAATATCATTTTCTTTTTA